TATTTTAGAACACACACAAGCAGATATATATATATATATATATATATATATATATATATATATATATATATATATATATATATACACTCACCGGCCACTTTATTAGGTACCCCATGCTAGTAACGGGTTGGACCCCCTTTTGCCTTCAGAACTGCCTCAATTCTTCGTGGCATAGATTCAACAAGGTGCTGGAAGCATTCCTCAGGGAGTTTGGTCCATATTGACATGATGGCATCACACAGTTGCCGCAGATTTGTCGGCTGCATATCCATGATGCGAATCTCCCGTTCCACCACATCCCAAAGATGCTCTATTGGATTGAGATCTGGTGACTGTGGAGGCCATTTGAGTACAGCGAACTCATTGTCATGTTCAAGAAACCAGTCTGAGATGATTCCAGCTTTATGACATGGCGCATTATCCTGCTGAAAGTAGCCATCAGAAGTTGGGTACATTGTGGTCATAAAGGGATGGACATGGTCAGCAACAATACTCAGGTAGGCTGTGGCGTTGCAACGATGCTCAATTGGTACCAAGGGGCCCAAAGAGTGCCAAGAAAATATTCTCCACACCATGACACCACCACCACCAGCCTGAACCGTTGATACAAGGCAGGATGGATCCATGCTTTCATGTTGTAGACGCCAAATTCTGACCCTACCATCCGAATGTCGCAGCAGAAATCGAGACTCATCAGACCAGGCAACGTTTTTCCAATCTTCTATTGTCCAATTTCGATGAGCTTGTGCAAATTGTAGCCTCAGTTTCCTGTTCTTGAAAGGAGTGGCACCCGGTGTGGTCTTCTGCTGCTGTAGCCCATCTGCCTCAAAGTTCGACGTACTGTGCGTTCAGAGATGCTCTTCTGCCCACCTTGGTTGTAACGGGTGGTTATTTGAGTCACTGTTGCCCTTCTATCAGCTCGAACCAGTCTGGCCATTCTCCTCTGGCATCAACAAGGCATTTCCGCCCACAGAACTGCCGCTCACTGGATGTTTTTTCTTTTTCGGACCATTCTCTGTAAACCCTAGAGATGGTTGTGCGTGAAAATCCCAGTAGATTAGCAGTTTCTGAAATACTCAGACCAGCCCTTCTGGCACCAACAATCATGCCACGTTCAAAGTCACTCAAATCACCTTTCTTCCCCATACTGATGCTCGGTTTGAACTGCAGGAGATTGTCTTGACCATGTCTACATGCCTAAATGCAGTTGCCGCCATGTGATTGGCTGCTTAGAAATTAAGTGTTAACGAGCAGTTGGACAGGTGTACCTAATAAAGTGGCCGGTGAGTGTATATGTGTGTTTAAGAAAAGAATTTCCATTACAATGTGTTTTTAGTCTAGATTTGAACTGTCTGAGTGTGTCTGCTTCCTGGACAATGTTAGGAATACTGTAACAGAGTGTTGGTGCTAAAGTGTAAAATGATCTACCGCCAGCAGTCAATTTTGATATTCTAGGTATTATCAACTGGCTGGAGTTTTGAGGTTGCAATAGACTATAAGGACTATAATGTGTTAAGAGCTCGCTCAAGTACTGGGGAGCTAAACTATTTAGTGTTTTGTAAGTAATTAGCAATATTTTTAAAATTTATACGATGTATTATAGCCAATGCAGTGGTGACAGAACTGGGCTAATATGATCATACTTCCTGGTTCTAGTAAGAACTCGAGCTGCTGTGTTTTAGACCAGCTGTAGTTTGTTTATTAAAGGGTTAGTTCACCCAAAAATTAAAATTAAGAGCTGTATAACTACCACATAGACTTCCGGGACTGGCTCTTGACGGCCCAGAAAGTCAATGAAGAAAATGTTTAAATATTCCATGTGACTACAGTGGCTCAACCATATGTTCATCAAGTGACGAGAATACTTTTTGTGCGAAAAAACAAACAAAAATAACGACTTTATTCGACTATTCCTTTTCTTCCTTGTTGGCCTGAAACGAGACTTCCTTAGATTTCCACGACGCATGCGCGAGAATTGCGATCTCCTTACACTACTTCAGTTCAGTTCTCGCGCATGCGTCGTGGAAATCGTATGGAAGTCTCGTTTCAGGCCAACAAGGAAGAAAAGGAATAGTCGAATAAAGTCGTTATTTTTGTTTGTTTTTTCGCACAAAAAGTATTCTCGTCGCTTGATGAACTTATAGTTGAGCCACTGTAGTCACATGGAATATTTAAACATTTTCTTCATTGACTTTCTGGGCCGTCAAGAGCCAGTCCCGGAAGTCTATGTGGTAGTTATACAGCTCTCAAATTTAATCAAAAATATCTTCATTTGTGTTCCGAAGATGAACGAAGGTCTTACGGGGTTGGAACAGCATGGGGGTGAGTAATTAATGACTTAATTTTCATTTTTGGGTGAACTAACCCTTTACGCATGCAGGGAAACCCCCCATAATTGCATTACAATAATCTTAGCCTTGATGTCATGAACGCATGAACAAGTTGTTCTGCATTTGTCATTGACAGCATATGATGTAATTTAGGTATATTTTTAAGATGGAAGAATGCAGTTTCACTGTCCAAAGCCACGCCTCCTCAAATACATGAACGCCCACAAACCAGAAGCGAGATGAGCAGAGACAACGTTACAGTACAGAAAACTTTACAGTACAGTGAGTAACAGTACTACAATAACCAAAGTAAATAACTGTTTGCCTGCCATTCTTGGTCTGTCTGCACAGCGTACGTCACCATGATAGGGAATTTCGACCGAATGCTATTATTGAACAAACATTTTATGCTCCTACGCTTTCCTTAGACGATATATTTATAAAAATACATTTAGACCACTTAACCTTCTAAGCGCCACGGTCGAGTTTACTCGACAAGATGCAGCACTGAATAAAACGGCCGATTTTGTCAAATTGGGTGTCAAATTTCGTTCAACCTCCCCTCCACCAGAAGGCAGACATGTCATACTTCATCCCCGACTCAAAAAAACGTCATGCTTCTTTAAAAAATCTTTGAGTTAGAGTGCATTGATTCAGTGTGATCAAAAGCGGAGCTAGTGTGTGAGTGAGCCATTTTATCAGAGCCTCTCCGCAATCACGGCGACAGAATTGTGGTGGAGACTTTGTTTAAAGGAAAACGCCGACTTTTTGGGACTTAAGCTTATTCACGTTATGCCCCAGAGTTGGATAAGTCCATACATACCTTTTTCATCTTCATGCGTGTTGTAACTCTGTCTGATGATTACTAGATAGTAAAAGCATAGTTTACAATCATGGGTGTTCGCTGAATTGTAAAGAGGTATGACAATAAACAGTGGAGACCAGGTAATACTATGATGTTTCATAGAATTCCAACCAAAAACGCATCCAGATTAATAAATATCACAGAACACAAATAAAGAATTATTAAATACAATTTATTACATGTGAATTCCACTCCTTGAACTGCCACCTTAACGTCGTGGAGGGGTTTGAGTACCCGAATGACCCTAGGAGTTATGTTGTCTGGGGCTATATGCCCCTGGTAGGGTCTCCCAAGGCAAACAGGTCCTAGGCGACGATCAGACTAAGAGTGTTTCAAAACCCCTAATGATGGGCAAAAATTCAAGGACCGCGACGTCGCCCAATATGGCGCAGCCGGGGCCCCACCCTGGAGCCAGGCCCACGGGGTCCAGCTGGGCTCAGCTCGAAGTAGCGACATGGGCTCACCACAGTCTTTGTGCTAAGCTATGGTGAAGAATAAGCTTAAGTCCTTGTGGTTCCTTTAATGCCACTGGGTATGTTAGACGAGGCCGAAGTATTCATAGGACAGTTAGGGGGCAACGTGGAGGCAGGGTGGGTAGTCGCAATGACAATGACAGTAGTCCGAGCTGTGCACACTCAGCGTGTGCGCGAGGCACATCTGGCTGCGCTGCTCGTATCATCTCACTCATGATCTGTGCCTTGCCGTGGCAAGTAAGTTTTTGAACTAATCAGGTCTTGTCTACTTGCGTTTGTATGTCATATGAATAATATATATGTGCCCCATATACATGGAATCAGAGTGTTTACTGTATGTAGTAAATGGAAAATCTCTACTGCAAAAGGACAACCGCTACATGCAATCGGTTTGTTTCTACCATTTATTAGTTGATTATTTATTATTATTAAAGAAGTGTTGCATTTTATCGTGACTTTTCATGAAAATTCTATAATCCAAGATTGCCGCCACCATATGATGTCATAATATGCTAATTAGATGGGAAAATGTAATCCCAACATAAACTTTGTGTCATCCTTAATATTTCTCTAATTTACAGAAAGTCTCTATCTTTTATTACTTTTAAGATATAGCCTTTTGAAATTAAGATGTAAAACCAAACATTTTGGTTAACAGGGATTGCTATCAGGATATGAGGAGACTTTTAACCAGCATAACAAAAATGTTTCTGTAGAGAACTACCTATTGCAGCTTTAAAATATTTAAAAGTGTTGTTGTTTAGGCCTAGGAGCTGTTTCATAATGAAAATAAGCCCATATAGCACCATTTAGTTGTATGCTTTTAAGTATCTTATTATTGGAAAATGTATGTATCTTCTTAAAATAACATAACTTAAAATACACCATTACATTTCATAAACTGAAAAGGTGTATAGTGAGATCATTGACTTGTTCATTAGAGTGCTTTTGTTAGCTTTGTTGAACTGATTAAAACAAATACACTGACCAAACATTCTTATTTGACATCTGCTATTATTATTATTAAAAATATATGACTATATATGACTAAAAGGTACTAAGAGAGGGACTAAGAGATTACATTTTCAGTAATAAAAGTTAATAAATTGTTATAATATATTGTTTGGATTGTATAGAATCATGATAATATTGTATCGTTGTGCCTTTGGTGATTTTTTTATTTATTTATTTATTTATTTTTATTGCTTGTATTTCTCATAGTTTTTTTTTTTTTTTTCAATTCCTGTCTTCTAACCCATTTAGGAGTTTTACACTTGCCAAATGTTTAATTGTAAATATTTAAAAGAGCAGAGGAACTTTGTTTCTATGCAGGCTGAACAGTGGTCCTGTCCAAGACTTCAGTGCAGATGTTGGGAACCGCACCTCCATCAGGATGAGTTACCCTGAAAGCTGCCCTAAGGTTTGGGAAGATATGGATCTAGATCTCAAATATGTGGCTGTGATCTATAAATCTGTGGACTTCCACTGGCTTCGTGCGATGATCACCAAGACATCCATTGTGAGTACTTGTTTAGATGATTGCCTTTTTAAGTCTTGCTCAATACATTCTGAACATCAAGTTTGAATTTTTCAGTCGCTGTGGGACTGGCTGTTTTTCTGGCAGAATGTGCCAGTGAGTGTTCCAATCAAGGCCTCCCAGTTCCGTCTCCTGAATCCGGAGATTATTAGGGTGACATCCTCAGATCTACTTCACTATCCCAATCCTAGAGAACGGCTCTGGGGCTGGGACCAGGTTAGTTCCCTTTCATTTGCTTTATAGGAGAAAAAAAAAATGTATATAATCTACCAGTCAAAAGTTTTGGATCGGTAAGATTTTTATTTTTTATTTTTTATTTTTAAAAGTATTTTCTGCTCCCCAAGGCTGCATTTATTTGATTAGAAATCAGAAATCATTCTACTATGGGGATTTGATGCTCAAAAAACATTCATTATTATCAATGTTGAAAATAAAAAAGAGATTATTTGATGAATAGAAAGTTCTAAAGAACTGCATTTATTTGAAATAGAATCTTTTGTAACATTATACATGTCTTTACTGTAACTTGATCAATTGAATTCATCCTTGATGAATAAAAGTATTGATTTATTTGATTTATTTTGCTCAAACAATTGTAAAAAATATACTTATAACTGACCCCAAACTTTTGAACGGTAGCGTTTAAAGGCACACTATGCAGCTCCGATTTTTTTTTGTAAAACAGTGACCCCTAGAGCTGCGTTGGTGTACTTGCACTGTAGTAAATAACCGTAACTGAATTAATGAGTTAATTTTTCATGAGAAAAAAGTTTTTGCTCTGTTTTTCTGAATTAACTCATTAATTCAGAAAAACAGCAAAAATAAATTTTCTCATGAAAAATTAACTCATTAATTCAGAAAAACAGCAAAAACTTTTTTCTCATGAAAAATTAACTCATTAATTCAGAAAAACAGAGCAAAATTTTTTTCTCATGAAAAATTAACTCATTAATTCGGAAAAACAGAGTACATTTTTTTCTTCAAGTGAATGCAATACGCCTCCGTAATAATCAACTGAACTACTGGTGATGGTAATAGATTAATAATAACTATATGTCAAGTGTTAAACTACTTAAATTTTTTTGTGTTTTTTGATTTTAATGTAAACACTACAAAATTTCAGATGACATCAATAAAATTAAATGTACGTCACATTATTTCATAACATTGGCAGTTATGATTTCATTAGACATGATTATTACAATGTATCATAATAGTTAGCAAATTGTGTTCAGTTACACTATACAACCTCTAGGCTTATATATGTCCTAAAAATGATGTGAGATGTTGACTATGTCCTCATGATAATCGCAGGGATCAACATCAACAGAGTCAAGATTTAATTGACTCATAATCAACACAATTTGAAGAGCAGTTACAGTCGGGAAGTGCACTGTTAGTCAGCAAAAGTTTGTATAAGCACAGTACACGCCATAAGAAATCCGAACCAGACACAGGACTAACGTTGCGTGATAAATACACGTCACAACACCTGAGTTCAGCTGGCAAACTAGACTTTGTGCCAAGCTAGGCAATAAAACATAATCAAAAACAAAAAAAAAAAAAAACTAAGAGAAACTACTGTTTCTCTGCTTACAGCTCTGGTAATCGCAAGCTAGCTAGACATATGTGGGAATTATTGAACTGGTCTAATTATCAACAATGGATGAAAGAACAGCACCGTAAAAAATGACATACTACAAGCCAGCGCAAAAACATACAACATAGAATGCAAACAAGTTTACAAATAAGAGATTTACTTACAAGTCCATCAACAAGATCGCCAGTTGCATCCAGTGCTGCTTTTAGCTCGCGCCAACGAGTGAAAGCCTGGACTCTGGTCCGGTTTCTACGGTCCAATTCTCTTTCCCTTTTTCTTGACATTTCTTGACGAGTCTGACCGAGTTTTCCTGGATGCACGTAAGTGGCTTCACATCTTGTTGTTGTTGTGTGACGTCATTGCCGTAAAGCATTTTGTGATTCTCGTGAGATTTGTCAGGGACGCCCGGCCCACCCCCCAAGCTTTACTACTACCAGGATGATTCGCCCTACTTTGACATTGTTTTGTACAAGGTACAAATCTTGCATAGTGTGCCTTTAATTTTACAAAAGCTTTCTATTTCTGATAAATGCTGTTCTTTTGAACTTTCTATCCATCAAAGAATCTCAAAATAAAAATGTAAATAACTGTTTTCAACATTGATATTAAAGAGAAATGTTTCTAAAGGATATTAGAATGATTTCTGAAGAATCAAGTGACACTGAAGACTGGAGTAATGATGCTGAAAAATTCAGCTTTGATTACAGGAATAAATTACACTTTATATATTCACATAGAAAACAGCTGTTTTAAATTGTAATAATATTTCACAATATTGGGGGGGGGGGGGGGGGGGGGGTTATCTAATAAATGCAGCATTGGTGAGCAGAAGAGACTTCTTTTAAAAACTTACTGATCTAAAACTTTTGATTGGTAATGTACATTTTATTTATTTTATTTTCCTGTTCCCTCTCTAGAATGTCCCTACTTTAGGAGTCTCTGCTCTCAATCTGGCAACGTACTTATGTGATGAGGTGAGCTTAGCAGGTTTTGGCTATAATCTCAGCCAGAAAGTGGTTCCCCTGCATTACTATGACGACAAACCCATGACATCCATGTTAAAGGAAACCATGCACAATGTACAAACCGAGACCATTTTCCTTGAACGCCTGGTAACTTCCGGCATTATCACTGACCTCACAGGTGGGATACACTGCAGCTTCTGTTCAAGCTAAATGTCTTCTCTACCACCAAGCACCTTTGTGGGCCAAGCTATCACTGCAAGCATGTGTGTAAGAATTCATGCAAGTGGACAAATTAACTTTTAGTATGTGTTTTAGTAACCTTAAAGCTGTGAGACTGTTTTACCTGAAACTTTTAACTTCCATTTTTAGTCTTTTGTTTGGCTAACCAAAGCTTGTTTATTTTATTATTTTTTTTTAATTTATTTATTCTGATTACATTTAAAATGTGTCACTGTAATAACTGTACTTTTCCTACAGATGGAGCAGTTGTAAAAAAAAAAAATACACACAAAGTCACACAACTGCCTAGTAAATATCTAGCCTAATTAAGAGAAACTACATTGAGGTCAAAAAAGTCACCAGACACTATATGGGACAAGTGAGAAATATTGATTTCTGAAATTTCTTGATTGCTGAAATTCTGATATTACTATTGTTTTTTTATGGCTTTGAAATGAGCTGAATGAGCTCTAAGGACTGTATTAGTTGGCATGCATGGTTTTTAGTCTTCCTGGAGTGAAATCTTTTATTGTTATTGGTATTATAATGATAGTAATAGTTACACACACACACAATAATTTATATGTGGCTTTTTTGACATGAAGGTGAAAAAAATGGTTCTGTTAATAACTATTTAATGAACTATATATATTTATATATTTATATATATTTCATTAAATAGTTATTAACAGAACCATTTTTTTCACCTTCATAAAGAAAGCTTCATATATATATATATATATATATATATATATACCTTTCTTTATTTTGAGTGTATTTGTTGAACTGTATAAGAACACTGCAAAAAAACAAAAACTAACAAAAATAAAACGATGAAAAAAACTGTAATTGCTCAAACAATGGAAGATGAAATTGATTTCAGATCATCTTTTTGAAAAATGTTGGTGTTGTGCAAAAGTTATAGAATCGCATATTTAGAGCCTAGACAGGGATTGTGTTTTCGACACTGTTAGCTGTATAATGTCAATAGTGCAGTGTAAAACTTTACACTTTCATTAAATTACAGGGATCTTTTCCCAGAGTCTTCCTGGAGTATTGATGATACTTGATGGTATTGATAATACTTGATGATAGTATAATGATAGTAATAGTTACACACACACACACACACACACACACACACACACACACACACACACACACACACACACACAATAATTTATATGTGACTTTTTTGACATGAAGGTGATGGATGAGCTACAAATGAGAGATCTTTGTCTCAAACTAGAGACCCTGATGTGCCTGTTATTTTGTTGTGCATCTGGGCTGGTTAAAGTTAGCGTTTTATCTTAAGACTGTGCATTTCCAAACATTCCTTTTGACATTAATTGTAATAATCCAGTGAGATTTTCGTATGCACAAGCAGGTTGGTGTTAGCCTGGCTGCGCCCTCCTACTCACTTCCGCTCAATTTCATTTTACTTCTGTACTACGTCTGGGATCGCTCCATATCCTTAGGTTTCCAGAAACCAATTTTTTGTAGGACCAATCAGCGAATAGAGGGAGTGGCTGAGAAAGATGACGTTGATGTAAGCGCGTCAGTTTCAATTCAGTGATGGCAGCGGAGAAAGACGTGAGAAAAGCTATTCGGTCCGTTGTTGGAAAAGAAACTGCCGAATATACAGAATTTAAAGCCGGATTGTTATCGTCTAACCTCTTGTTGCACAACTGAGGACCAAGTGAAGGAGGCAGAAAGTTTGGAAGTTTGTGCTGGGCAGCTCGTGCACGATGACCGTGACATTTTGGACGGACGGTTTAGCCTGGTGTTCGCGGTGTTCGGAAGCCCCGAGTCCTGGCTGCTAAACTATTGTTGAAGATCCGCTCAGGAGTCATGTCAGTCGCTCATATTCCCAACTGTATATTTACTGATTCTTGTGATGAATAGAACATTTTGAGCCCGTTTGTGTACTCGTGCAGGAGGTTGGTGTGTCAGTTTTACATGTTGTAAATCATACAAATTGGTTGTGATTTAAAAAAAAATAATTGTCATAAATAAAAATGTGAAAAACCATACTTTGAAGATATTTGATTTTCAGTTTTAGATGGCAATGGTTGATAATACTAAAAAAAATAAATGCCACATAAAAATGTACAAACACATACTTTGAAGACCATAATTAAGGTAATTAAAAAAACAATAAGACGTAATATGAAAAATTGTAGTTTATTACACATCTGCAGATAGAGACAGACTGATCATTCACTGTAGCTGTTACAGCATTTGCGGCAGATCAGAAACGACCACAGCGGCGTATTTGTAATGATTAGACACAGCTTCCACCATTGAATGAATACATCACTGTCCTTCGTGTCAAATATACATTTCGAATTAATAATTGTTCCTAGATTAACAAAACCTGCGGCGCTCGTTGACTGAAATCCTATTGTAAACATAATCCTCTGATCATTCGGACTTGTTGTTTCCAGCCATTTCGGCGCGTGACATACGTCACTCACGACACCCCGTTAGCGACTGGCTATGGCAGATCGTGAGTGACTTTGGGAAGATCCAATAGATTTGAACTTTAATAGTGAACCCGCCTACAAGGAAGGAAACGTTTTTCAATGGAGCGGTTCCAGACTCTATGTGGAAATGAAATGAACTAGAGTCTGGTTGAACCAGGCTAGGTTGGTGTCATCCAGTGTTTTGGAGACGTTGCCGCAGTTCTTCTGGATTTAGTCTATTTTCTGATTCTTCATGTAATCCCAGACAGACTCGATGACTGTGAGATCAGATCATATAAGACTCTTTCTGCATAGAAAAATCTCACTGGATTATAAGGATTAGTGGCAAAAAGGAATGTTTTGGAAATGTAAACTGAAATTTCCTGGTCACACATTAAAGTGAAGTAAATAAATAACTTGCTAACTCATTTTTTTTTTTTTTGGTGAAAATAATAATGTACCTTAGACTTTTGCACTACTGTATATGTGAATGTAGAGTGAATTCTCTATCCAGTCAAAATCCATATGAAGACAAGACACATTGTTAGTTCTACTCTCATGTTGCTTGTCATGCTGTATACTCTAAAATAAAATAAAGAAATATTTTGATTTATTCATTTTCATTGTAGGTAGCTACTGGGTAGACTGTGGGGGAAGACAAAAGGGTATGATGTTGGTCACCAGCAATTTATACCTCATATTTAAGCTAAACTTTTAAAACTAAATAAAGCTAAATCTAAACTAATTTAAAGCTAAATCTTTATTTCCAAAGAGATTTGGATATAAAGATAAATGTTTCAGTAGTACTAAGAAGGTTTAATTTTGATGCATCTGTTTATCTCTTTGCCTAGACAGTAACTTTTGCAAGTAGGTTATGAATGGGTGTGAGAGATCAGTTAAACTACTCCCCCTCTCATAGAAAATGGCTAGCGATAATGACCATTAGCGATATTCTTTTTCTCCATTTAAATCATTTGTTTGTTGAAAATCGGTTTTAACAACATGGCCAGCCCACACCCTAACCGGGACGGGAGATCCTGAAGCTCACTAAATGCATGTGACTGCATGACTGGGTTCAGAAATCTTATATAGAAAAAAGGGGGCCAAGCATTGACCCCTGAGCTACCCCAGCTGATGCGAGTTACCCCCACCCTTTAGGACAGGGTCGAGCCCAGGTTTAGCATGAGGATGGATATCTCCTGATACAGCTCTGATGCGGGAGACGATATGGAAATGTCTCGCTTTTTAGAAAGTCTGTGGTTATACAAGTATCTGTGATGTGTTGGCCTTACTATGAAAGACATGTATAATGAAATTATTATAAATTATTTTTAAACTTGAAGTTGCAATGTAAATCATATAATGAAAGCAAAAATGGCTTTGATTGTTATAAATATTGCATAATTGTACTTGAATGTTTAGAAAGGCAAATCTGCAAAGCATGAGACTTTGAGAGTGAAAAAGACATCTTGTTGAATTGTTCTGTAATCTTATAAAAGTCTGTCTGAGAGGAAACCTCAGGTGCAGATTTTCAGTGAAAAAGACCTATACAGTCTCTAAATGTTATCAGTTGAATGAAAGAAGTAACATTTTTGAACAATGTGAAATTTTGACATGGAACAGATGCATTGAGAGAGGAAAGAAAACATCTCCTTAAGTGAACTCTGAATAGGGAAAGCATACAACAAAGCTGTTTAAAATATGAAAAAAAAAAAAAATGATGAAACAAAATGTTTTAAACCTGCTGCTTAAAATAGTGTCTTTCTTTTTTTCCCCCGCAGTTTCAGCTGATATGATTATAGACACCTTGAAATAAAATTGGCTCTATATTTTACCTCTTATTTTTCCTTGTACATGAGACAACATTAGTAATATTCTGACCTTGCTTCCCCATGTTATTTCCAATCATTTTAACAGACATTAATTTCCACTAAAAGATCAATTTAAAAGTCAGTAAAACTTAGCAAACAAGAAGCTTAATAAAAGTGAATAGTAGATCTGGTCTTAGACTAGATTGCGAGAATGCAGTTGCTGAAAAGAAAATCTTGCTATTGCTAATATGTACATACATGTTGCTGTGACTGATGAAAAAAGACATGTGTACTTTCCCCCCGGAAGCAGATCTAGACAGGTGTTGCTGGGGAGGAAGGTGCCAGAGAGAAAACTCTCATAACACTCTGCAGTTGTTAAAAATTTCAAAAAAAAATAAGTTTTTTTGGTGAAAACATTCTAGGATTTTCTCCATATAATGGACTATACTGGTAACCAAACGGTTCAAGGTCCAAAAGCCAGTTTCAGTGCAAACTGCAAGCTGTTCAAAGGGCTTTAAACGATTCCAGACAATAAACAAGGGTCTTATCAAACGAAACGATCGCTCATTTAAAAAAAAAATAACAAAGTTTAAAGGACAACTCCGGCGCAAAATGAACCTTTAGTCTAATTACACATTGTTACCTAGTCAACCGTTATCTGAGATTTGTTTTCATGATTGCCGAATGTAAATAGTTTTATCTCTAAAAACAGTTTAGCCTATAACGCTAGTATAATGCTAGTAGGGCATAGAGTAATGACAAATAAAAATCGCTTGTTATTACCACTAACAAGGCTCAAAATAGCCCCACACTAACACGACAGCATAACAAAGGTCCCTACATTCAAACCGAACCATTGAGAACTTTGTCAGCGTCCATACAGTTTAATAAGCAGATGTTTTATACACACAGTAAATTTCGCGAATTCAGGACGAAGCCATCTTGGAAAAATAGTCTCTACCAGTCGATCTACGAACGCCGATCCAAGTGCGCTGGTGAGATGTGAATAAGGTGATAAGGTGAGCGCGAACAGTAGGCTACGTGTACATGTTGAAGACAAGTAAACCGTTTGTGTTTGTGTTTCTTCTGGAAACAACGGATCATATGAGATTCTGCACAGTTCAGCGCACTTGGATCGGCGTTCGTAGATCGACTGGTAGAGACTATTTTTCAAAGATGGCTTCTTCCTGTATTCGCGAAATTTACTGTGTGTATAAAATATCCTCTTATTAAACTGTGTGGACACTGACAAAGTTCTCAACGCTTCGGTTTGAATGTAGGGACACTTGTTATGCTGTCGTCTTAGTGTGGGGCTATTTTGAGCCTTGTTAGTGGTAATAACAAGCGATTTTTATTTGTCATTACGCTATGCCCTATATACTAGCATTGAACTAGCGTTATAGGCTAAACTGTTTTTAGAGATAAAACTATTTACATTCGGCAATCATGAAAACAAATCTCAGATAACGGTTGACTAGGTAGCAATGTGTAATTAGACCAAAGGTTCATTTTGCGCCGGAGTTGTCCTTTAAGTTTTAAAAGCTCAAATGGTCGCCTTCTTCTGTTCTGTTGCGACTTTTTTTCTGTTCGACCTCGTTTATCAAAATGAACGAATCTTTTTTCGTGTCATTTGGTTCATTCAACGAATGAAATGAACGAATTGACTCGGAAAAAATATTGTTCATTTTGATGAACGAGTTCGAACAGGAGAGTCACGAAAGTGCATCACAGAACAGAGCAAGGCGACCATTTGAGCTTATAAAACTTAAAATTTGCTTTTTTTTTTTTTTAAATGAGCGATTGTTTCACTTGATAAGACCCTTGTTTATTGTCTGGAATCGTTTAAAGCCCTTTGAACAGCTTGCAGTTTGCACTGAAACTGTCTTTTGGACCTTGAACAGTTTGGTTACCAGTATAGTCCATTATATGGAAAAAGAATGTTTTCATCAAAAAAACTTAATTTCTTTTTGACTGAAGAAAGAAAGACATGGACATCTTGGATGGCATGGGGGTGAGTAAATTATCAGTAACAGTTTTTTTTTTTTTTTTAAAGTGAACTACTCCTTTAATATTCAACTATATTATTGATCTGCCTTCTAGAAACAAAGTTTGTTGTATTATTTTCATGTTATCACTACTTTGATACAATCCGTAGTGTCAAAGCACTATATAAATAAAGGTGACTTGCAAGTAGTTCAAATGCTTATAAATACATTGATCTATGAACACTAACCAATCAACAACCATTTACCATTTTTTAATACTATTTTATTTTCTCATTGGTGGAACAGAAAGTGTAAAACTTCAATTCATAACAAATACATACAATTAAATACATTATATACACTGCCTGGTCAAAAAAGTTTAGAATTTAAATAAGGAAAAGTAAATACTTAACAATCTATGATTGGATCATTATTGTATTGATTAATGTGTTTCTGGCATGTTATATATATATATAAACACATAATACTGACTTTGGCATAACTAAAACATTCATTAAGGTTTGATGATGCAGAAGTTAAGAGTTTGTAACCGTGTGAAATAGGAATCCTACACAGGTCAGGTCACTGTGTTCTGTCAGATCTGATTCCTCTTGATGTTTTGTTTAATGTATTGGCGGGTCACCAACCATTGCTTATTGCTGCCTCCAAAGAAGAACTTCTTCAGTTATAAAGATGAAGTCTTGTACAACATAGTTGAGTATTTTAACATTAAATGAATTCATGAAACATAAGCAACTTGCTGACAAAGCCACAGCTCAGAACATTTTATAGAGTATAGGCTCCTGTTTACAAGAATGTTAATACAAACCAAGTGGAGGACAGGAGATGAGTGTCCAAAAAAATCTGCGCCATTTTCATTTATACAGTGTTTATAATGTAATTGATCAAATGAAAAATAATTAAATGGAATTAAAAGAAAAACAAAATGTGTGCTTTCTTGCTTTCTTGATCTAGCACATGCGGACATTTTCGACAGAATATGCACAGGAACTTGCAAATACGCTTTTAAAAATAAAGGTTCTTTATTGACACTGATGGTTCCGTGAAGAACCTTTAAAATCCATGGAATCTTTCCATTCCACAAAAGGTTATTTTATAGTGAAAAAGGTTTTTTTTAGATTATATAAACTTTCCACTAAGAAAAAAAAATGGTTCTGTTAATAACTATTTAATGAACTATATATATATATATATATATATATATATATATGAAGAGTTCAGATGGAAAAGCCTCTAAATGCCATTTGAAATTTTCTTCTTTAATGATGATTTTTATCAAACTTGTATATTTAAGTTCAGTAATTTCACTTAAATGGCAATGATAATTACCTATTAATTGTTATTTAAGTGAAATTACTGAACTTAAATATACAAGTTTGATAAAAATCATCATTAAAGATGAAAATTTCAAATGGCATTTAGAGGCTTTTGCATCTGAACTCTTCATTTGTTGAACTGTATAAGAACACTACAAAAAAAAAAAACCTAACAAAAATAAAACAATAAAAAAATCTGTAATTGCTCAAACAATGGAAGATGAAATTGATTTCAGATCATCTTTTTGAAAAATGTTTGTGCTGTGCAAAAGTTATAGAATCGCATATTTAGAGCCTAGACAGGGATTGTGTTTTCGACACTGTTAGCTGTATAATGTCAATAGTGCAGTGTAAAACTTTACACTTTCATTAAATTACAGGGTTCTTTTCCCGCATGGGGAAAGTGTCTTCATGTTAATTGATTGAGTTCCTTCTTTCTCCAAATTCACAGAAGACATTCTTCATTTCATTCCTGTGAACAAAAACAAAACAAAAATACAAGTTAGTTGACAAAAATAGAAAGAGAGGACAATATTCTGACTAGATGTAATTGTTTTTCAATGTGCTTTTTGAAAAATGTTGCAACAGTCATGCACATTTCCATGTTCACTCAGTGCTTTTCATCGCTGTGCTTTGCCAAAACATTTTTCCCCTCAGACTCACTGGCTCTACTTGACAAAGGGATTTCTTTCTTGGACGGTGCCCCTCCTCCAAACCCTCCTCCTGTTTCCCCCTCGCCTCTGTAACAGCTGCTCTTTGGAGCCGTATCCTAAGAGAGTGATGATCGGTGCTTTTTTATTTCAAAGTGTTTTTTTGGAACAGATGGCCAAGGGAGAACTGGGGAGTCAGCCAAGACCGCGCTGGGGAATGTGCCAATTCCTGTAGTGAGCGAGTTCTCTGGGCTCCAGCTCGCGTGCCTTCCCTCTGCCCTCTGCCCTGAGTGGCGCCAGCAGGACTTCCCAACTAGTGTTGCGAACATCTGGTGTCTGGCTCTGACGGGGGGAGGGGGAGGCGCGCTCAACCAGCTTCCTTTTCAGTGTGCTTTGCTGAAGGAACGTATTAGCTCACATAGGGATGGAGGGTGGCTTTCCTTCACACATAATCTGTTGGGCTTCTGAAGACCCTTCATGCCTAAATTAAAGGGTTAGTTCACCCAAAAATGAAAATTAAGTAATTAATTACTCACCCCCATGCTGTACCAACCCCGTAAGACCTTCGTTCGTCTTCGGAACACAAATGAAGATATTTTTGATTAAATTTGAGAGCTGTATAACTACCACATTGGCTGCCTAAGAGACTGCCTCTTGACGGCCCAGAAAGTCAATGAAGAAAATGTTTAAATATCCCAAGTGACTACAGTGGCTCAACTATATGTTTATCAAGCGACGCGAATACTTTTTGTGTGAAAAAACAAACAAAAATAGCGAATTTATTCGACCATTTCTTTTCTTCCTTGTAGGCCAGAAACGAGATTTCCTTAGATTTCCACGACGCATGCGCGAGAATTGCGATCTGCTTACACCAGCTTACACTACTTCAGATCGCAATTCTCGCGCATGCGTCGTGGAAATCTAAGGAAATCTCGTTTCTGGCCTACAAGGAAGAAAAGAAATAGTCGAATAAACTCGTTATTTTTGTTTGTTTTTTCACACAAAAAGTATTCGCGTCGCTTGATAAACATATAGTTGAGCCACGGTAGTCACTTGGGATATTTAAACATTTTCCTTTCTGGGCCGTCAAGAGGCAGTCCCTTAGGAGCCAATGTGGTAGTTACACAGCTCTCAAATTTAATCAAAAATATCTTCATTTGTGTTCCGAAGACGAACGAAGGTCTTACGGGGTTGGTACAGCATGGGGGTGAGTAATTAATGACTTAATTTTCATTTTTGGGTGAACTAACCCTTTAAGCATAGCCTACAACGGTTAGCATCACCGCTGATTTGATTTCTCACAGTTGCTCATTTGTTGTTTATAAATGTCATAAAAAAGTTCCATCATATATGTTAACTGTACACAACAGCGACCACCGTTACAGAGGGAACGCACATGTCGATATAGGATAACACTGCAGGAGATCTGGACTACATAGATGACTGTGTCATAAAACTCCCTGCAAAAACACATCAATCACTCCATTTATTCGCCCGGGATGCTTTCTCGGCGTATTGGAGGAAAAAGCTGGCGGAACACCCAGTCCTGCCTCTGACAAAAGTTGATGATAATTGAATTGAATTTAATGGGATCATTATTAGGCAAGAGGGAAATTCTCTCTAATTGTTATCTGTATGTATACACATACACATATTCTCCCTTGTTTACTACTATCTTTATTTTGCTAATATGTCTAAGAATACAGAGTGACGCTCTGAATCCTTCTGTTAAGCAGTCTATAATTATTCACAGTTTGCTGGGCAAATGTCATGGTTCACATGAGAGCAGCATGGCTTTCTTAAAGGAATGGGTTTGTTTTCAGATAACCACTAGCAAATGACCGTTTAATGTTAGAGAGCAAATCAAAGGTGGGAAATGGGACCTATCTCACGACCAATTCGTACGAATGATTCAAAAGTTGAATCACTCGTACAAATTTGTACGATTTGTCTAAACCCACGTGACGGTTATGTTTAGGGGCGGGGTCAGGGGTAGGTCATTCGTACGAATTCATACGAATTGGCTAATTCGTAAAATATGTACGAATTAGCTAAATCGTACTAATTCGTACGAGTGAGGTCGTACAAATTGTTACGAATTAGCCACCTCGTAAAATTCGTACGAATTCCCGTGAGATCGGGTTGGATTTGTCACCTGGTTTTATCATGTAAGAGCCCTATAGAGTATCCCTTCATGAGACACTGGAAAACTTCTTCCCAACTGACTGTTTACCTTCCTTTTCTTGGAGCGACCCTCGGCCTGCAGAGTTCTAGTGCACTGCTCCACACACTCTCTGAAGCTCACGTTGCGGTGGTCTGGCGAATAATCCAGGTCGGCAAGCTGTGCAAGGGACAGTATGTAGTTGCAAGCTATTCTTAATATAGCCAGCTTGGAAAGCTTCTGCCCATAAGAGTAGCAGGGTACCTGTAAAGTAGATTAAAGTGTTGGCAAGTGAGAAAAAGCAGGTTGTGATTATAAAAATCAATAATTATGATGACACAAGGCCTAAAAAGTCTACTTCCATTAGTAATTTATCAAAAGTCTTCTTCGAAACAAGGGTACAAACAAAGTAGATATTTGCTGCAATATCTCACCACTTTTAATGTTTAAACCGTTATTTGTTTGATCATTAAATAGTTAAACTTGAAAAAAAAAACGTTTTTTCATAGTCTCTAGACTTTATGAAAATGACTGTCTACTAGTGGCAATAAGAAAATTTCTTTATTTTGTTGAAATAAATTTTATTTACAGCTAAAACACATTTGCAATCCTTTTTATTCGCAAACTTTGGATATTATTGACCTCTACGCTTCCTCGGCACTTCTATACAGTAGACTCTGTAAAAGCAGAGCCTTGTGTATTCTGTGGCAATTCACCCAGCTCTGAAGTAATGCTGCCTGTGGTGGGATTTTACCTGCTTTCTGAGCGCCTCAAAGGCTGCACTGATGGTGTGCACGCGCGTCCTCTCGCGCGCGTTCGCCAGTAGTCTTCGTGTCTGCTGAATGGCTTTGATCTCCGTGACGACGCCCGACGGCTCTCCAGTGCGTCTCCTAGGAGACTCCGCGCGCTCGCTTCTGCCGCTGGCGTCAGGCGCCTGCGAGGCTGCGCGCGGAGAAAACACAACACGCTCCAAGGGAAAAACCTGTGAACCGCTCAAAGCCGAAACATGCGAGTTTGTTTGAGCAATTTTGCTATTGACAGTCTTCTCGGAGATGGATCTTAGCTTCGAGTCAGGTATCTCTCCAGAAATCACGGTGTTAATCCTCATATCTATGGCAGTGTTTAAAATTTCGTTTCCCACACTGGCCGAATCGATTTCCGAAGCGTGCGTCTCTTTTGGACAAGCGTCTCCCAGAGTCTCTGGCATTAGATGCGAGTTCTTATACAGTTTAAAGTAAGGCAAATGATCTTCACTGACACGCTTAATTGGATCTCGTGATTTCCGTTTAAATTTCTTGTCTCCTGATACCGTGTTCAGGATCTTGCAATGACCGTTTAGATGTGGATTCTTCATTTCGGATGTCCACCCTGACTAAAAATCCAATATAAAAAAATGAAAAGAAGATAAATGTTGTTGAGAGGTGATACACAAAGCACGCTGTAAGTGTCAAACCAGCCCTCTGTCAGCTGCAGTCAAGTCTTCTAGGACGAGCATGTCTGCGTCGCTTGTTTAAAACTCCATGTCAGTGTATTTTTGAGGTGACGTGCTTCTCCTGTGGTGTCCAAGAGTCCCGTGAAGTCAGGCAGACATTGCCAGGACATTTTTGTGAATGTGCTCGACAGTTCATCTGTGTTTATTCAGCCTCAGTTAACACAGAAGCCCCTGTTGGTGAGATAAGTCAGCGCCGAGAGACCGCCCAAAATAAACCCTCAAGAGGATCTGACACATTTCCAATGAAAGCATTCTCTCGACAGTTTTTCAAATGATAGTATCATATAATCATAATTATAAAAAATCATAATAATTACGATATTGTCGGACTTAATAGGCTGTCTTTGTTTAAAAAGTGAGGTTTGATGGCTGTAATGCATTATAAACTTTTAAAAAAATAAATAAAAATAAATAAATAATAGCCTAGATAGATATTCAGGAGCAATTTGTTGCAATATCAACATCTCAGTTTCTACAATTATTTATTAGGGGTGTCACAATATATTGTAATTCAAAAACGCAACAATATTGTGGATAGTGACAATATGGATTGTGTATATTTCACCCGAAATTAAAATTACAGAGTTTTAGTGTCAGTACATTAAACTACTATAAATAATATTTAATATAAAGTATAATAATGTAATGGAGGAATATTTGTGGGTCCTAATAATGCCAAATGTTTTATGTTACCAGTCAAAATCCTGAATACTGTTATGTCTCTATTGTCCTGATTGGGTTTCCAGCACCAAGTCCAAGCCATTTTCACCCCCAAAAGCATTTTAAATGTTAATTTTGTTTAACCTTTTAATATATGTCTTGGTGTATTGCAATAATAATATCATATTGTGATATGTATCAAATGTTGACACGAGGATATCGTTACACCCCTAAAGGTTATTGTTCACTGTAAACCCCAAAGTCGTTATTAAAAGCTACTTAAAACTAACAAGTCTTTTCTTGCTTTGTTGTCACTATTAGCACAACAGAATGAAAGTGTATTTTAATGTTCCACAACTTATTAAAATTAATTTGATTGTTAAATGTTAGTGTGTTTGCATGCTGAATGTTGATGTCTGCATGTGACGATTAAGGTCACTTGTAAAACTATAGATTAATAAATTGTATATAGATTAATAAATTAGATTACTATAAAATCTTAATAATAACTCAGGTGTTAGTAATATAAATTTAATATTTCCTAACTTTACATTGACACATAAATGTGGGTTAGATAATGATCAATTAAACTTATGAATTTAAATCACTTATAAAAAAACAGCCAATTTACTGTACATCTCTTCCTTTGAAAGCACAAATAACTGTGATTTCTTGTAACTCTACTGATAGCTGGAATATTATTGTCAAGTAAAAGAAGTTCCAAGTGCCCAAACAATTTCGAACACTAATGACCATAATCAAAACCATTTTTTGGGGAATCAACATCAATTTATTAATTCAAAATGTTCCAATGTTGTATTGTCAAACTTACAACATTTAAGACAACTTTGTAAAATGAGTGAATTCAAATAAAGAGGAATATAACTAGAAAATTAATGAAAATTATATTAAGATTGCCCACTTTTTTTTTTTTTTTTTTTTGCTTGACCAATCAATTTATCTCAACTTGGGTTTTACACAGGCATAGTATGCAAACCATACAGGGCTCAGTTGTTCAAAAAGATGAATCTGCATTAGAATGATCTGGATTTAAAAATCCTATGTTTTGCTATCCAGGATCAGGTAATCCATTTTAATTTTGTGTCAGTTTTTCAAAGCACAATTGGATTGTGTCACCCTGACCAGATCCAAACCTTTTCAGATCTGTATTATCAATGCTTGGAATGTGACTAAATGTCACAATTTAGACTACTAGAACATTCAACATGGATCAATTTAAGTGTGTTTTATTTGAATAGGCACAAAACAGCACAAAAAAAATAAATCAGATTACTCTTTACATTTTCATAAAAAAAAAACAGTCAGGCCCCCAACAAATAAATAAAGCAAACAAATATATTACTCACACGTACATTGCGCATACTTTGAACATATTTTAAATCATAAAAAAGATTGTCCAGTTGTTAACAAAATAAAGAATAATCAGAGTTCTTCATTTGTGGAGAGACCAGCTTAAATCAGATTTCAAGTGTAGCTTTGGTTTGTAGATTGGTAATAGTGTTTTGTTCCTCTGCCAGACAAATCTGTATTTCCACGCTTTCAATTTCTCGTTTAAGAAATTGCGTATAGGCATCATCATCCTTGTTTTGTAACGAACGCTTCAAGCCTCTTTACTGGGCTCCTGTTGGAAAGACTATTGATACCATTGAGTCTTCTTGCTAAAAACATGGCTGAGATCCAGAATAAATGTTTCCTCTGCATCAGGAGGAACTGACTCACTTTTCCACAGTCTTGGACGCACTGTCCTAACAACACCTTGAATCCCATGCAGAGATTGTGAATTTTCACTTCCAATAATGTCAAGAACCAAAACCTTGTAATCACCTCTCTTAAGGGGTTGTTGTGTGGTTTTTTTTAGGGCTGTCAATCGATTAAAAATTTTAATCTAATTAATTACATACTCTGTGATTAATTAATCAAAATTAATCGCATACATAATTTTTGCTGTGAAAGTATTTACAATATTTCAATTCAAATGAATCAATGAATCAGCATTAGTGACATTAAAGTTCAAAAAGTCTTTTATTATTATATCCAGTGTTCAAATAATGGCCATAACGTTCAACAATATGGCCTAATATTCTGAGGAAATAAATTCAAAAGTGCTTCAGGAAGATTTTTTTTAACTGTACAAGGTATCTCAGGCCACAGTTATAACCTTGGGGACACAATGAATAAAATAACACTCCCCTCAATTTCAACACTATTTCTCTTGTATGGCAACAGAGACCAAAACTTTAACATAGTGCAAAATCAATTTCAGGGCTTTTTTTTGTGTGTAATTGAACATAAATAAATAAATTAAAAATAAGCCCCTTTCACTACATTTCACACACACACACACACACACACACACACACAAAATCAACAAAGCAACAAAGCGTGTGTTTGCTTTTACCTGCATGGTTCAAGGATGGTTTCCTGCCTCTGAAGTTTGTCCCACTCAGGTGTAGTCAACATAGTCAACTTGTGCTTCTGTCTGCTCAGTGGTTTTTTAGGAGACGAGAGATCATTGCGAGTGACGAGTTCCATCTTGCAGGAACGTCCTGAATCAGACTTTCTGTCAGTTGCCCAAGTTGATTTTGCTGCTGATAGCTCCTCTGTATTTGCAGGGCTATGTTTAAAATGTCCCACTTTCTTATGATACTTTGTCAATGCGTCACAAAACCCACTGTCTGTGAGGCAAACAGTGATGCTTCTCTGTACCATATGAGCAACACAAGGCATGTGTTCATATGGAAGCTTTCTCTCCGCAGCAATCATGTTTCAGGGGCACAGGCATCGGCATAATGCCTGGTGTCCGTTTTTAGCATTGCTAATGCAAATGAATGAAGTTTCCACTTACATTCAATGATGTGTGCCGTAACACCAAGGTGATTGCCAACTGAAGTCCAGTGATCCCCTGTCAGCGCGATATATTCCGCTCCCACCAATACATCTCCTTTTGTTTTGTTTTTTTTCAGTGCCGTATAGCTGCTGAATTTTTAACAAAATAGTATTTCCCGATGGCGGGTTAAATGTTACGTTTGAAGTGGCAATTTGCAAAACCTCTGCTAACCCTCTGTCTTCTATCACCGAAACTGGTCTGCAGGACATTGCGATCCGTTTAGCAAGGGAATTGCTCAGTCGGTCACACACAGATTTGCTAAGTTTGTGTTTCAGTGTTTGGTCCAGTGTGGTTTGAAGATGAGGCTGACTGCTAGAGTTGGTATCACGGGACGTGCTAGGTTAACGTTAACTTGGATGCTTTGCATTGATGTGGTATTTTAGAGTTGACGAACTCCTGTGATAGGCATATTCATTGCAGCAGACATTACAGATGACTTAATTTTTTATCAACACTTCCATCAGGCTGTTTTTTATAGGTAAATGTTCCTATCAATGATCCAGAAAGTGCGTTCTCGTCTCCCTCCTTCATTTTGCAGTTGAATGGTGGCTAGTACAGCTCAGAGTCAAAGGTCAATACTGAATGGATTAATCTGCGTTATTTTTTCTCAGATTAATTATTCGAAATTAACGCGTTATTTTGACAGCCCTAGTTTTTTTTTTTGGTTAATTGCATTCACATTTTGGGTTAGTTGTCACTTCACCACCCTTAGAGTTAATATACTATTAAAGCATAATAACTATAATGGCCTCTCGAGAGAATGCCAATATTCCCCCATAGTGCACGACCCCGTCCGTGCCCGATCGGGTGCCCGCCTATATCCTTCTCAAGCAGTTCCCCCACCAGTGCTTCTAACATGGCTGGGGCAGGGCTCCAATCAATAGCAACAGCGGCCGTAGAACTAACGCGACCACTGTATCATTTCCTAGATGCGCTCTGGCCGCCCATCCGCACAAAACAGTGAACTGTAAAGCCGCACAAAACTATTATTTCTGTAAAGCCGCTTTGGAACAATCCGTACTGTTAAAAGTGTAGTGAATTAAATGAAGGTGACTTGACACGCGCATTCCAGTCACTCACAGTTGCTTCAGCGCTCTGAGACCATGGTGCAACCCGGATATGTTCTGCCTAGGAGTCCCTTTGGGAATAGTGACAAAACGCACCATGGTATCGACAAATGCTTCGACCTCAGGCTGAGGAGCAGTGTGCTTGGGTATGCCTGCCTCAGGTCTGTGGTCAGAGTCACAGAGGGAGTGGCACATACACCGTTTGAATTAAAGGCAGTGTCCTTAGCCCTGGAAGCTGTTCTGTCAAGGTTGGAGAAGCAGCATGTACTGATTTGAATTGACAACATGTCTATGGTTTCGTACATAAATCACCAGGGTGCTTCAGAAATGAAGTTTTATTAACTAAGTTCGGGAGGAGCACGTTCAGATAATTGACACGTGTGGACAGCAATCAGCAGTCAATGATAAGAGGGTACAAATAGACTCAGCAGTCTTACCTCGATCCATTGACAGTTTGCAGCATCCCTCCTCCACACTAGTTCTCCACACTCCTATTTCTCCACACTCCTCTTTCTAAAAATCACTTGCATACGGGGGGAGTACTCTGGGTTAGAGCTCGGAGAGCTCGGAGCCCTCCCTCCTGACAGCATGCCAAATACGCATTGAATCTTACTAACTCAAAATTATATGTAAGTGTGAACTCGTGAACTCTTTTTAAACAGGCAGGGAGTCTCCTGTTGTGGGCGGATTGAAACTTTCTCTCCATCAGAGCGGCACAAATCCCCAGTCTCCTAAACCGCAGAGCAGACATGCTTCCGAGGAATGGGATTCCTCGGGGAGAGTGGAGGTTAGTGGGACGCTAGTTCCTCGGGTCACACCCACCGCTCCAGTGTTAGAGCTAGTGAGCGCTGTATCGCTTCAGACGTCTGCCTCTCTGAGGTACCGTCTGTTTCGTTCAGCGCTCCAGAGAATGATGCGATGACGATCGCAGCATCACAAGGCGGGCTTGACTCCTCGGGAAGTGAGGATGCGGCCGCGTTGCCTCCCTCGGGAGCGTCAGCGTCGCCGTGTCTGATCCCGCGATGATGGCCATGCTATCTCGGGCCTCCGTGAGCATCGGGTGGGGGCGGAACTCCGCCCTATCCCGATCTCTCGCGGCTGGATAATTGGTTTTTGGGTAACGCTGCCGCCTTACGGCCACGGCCAACCCCAATTTCCTTTTTCCCCCGAGTTGCATGCGGAACTGACTCGCACTTAAAAAAAATAATAAAATAATATATATTTTAAAAAAAAAGAGCGTGCTTCAGTTCCCCGCCCTTCCTCCCCTCGGCGATGCGGCTGTCTGTGGGTACGCTGGGGCTCCCCCGGTGGAACGCTCTGTTGCGATGCAGCTGCGTCCGCAGGGCGCGTCCACCCGCGGTGCTCTCAGATGCCCATCCAAAGCCTATGGTTTCTCGTCGTCTATGGCGGCGCGATTCTGTAGAGCGGCGGGACAGGCAGCCTCCGCCCTGCATATGAGGAGCACCTGCTAGCTGCTCAGGAATGTGCACGAGGAGA